CATAAAGTTATATAAAGTAAAATAAAATAAGAAATTATGATTATTTGAAAGAAATCGGATATTAAAACATAAAAAAAGACAAAATGAAATTAAGCTACTTTAGAAACTCCAATTAACAGAAAATTAAATTAAAATACAGTTTAAGAAAACAAAGTAAAATAAAATCCATTTTAAATAAAATACATTTTTTTAAGTAAAGTAAATTAGAATTAAATAAGAGTTAAAACAAAGCAAACTTAAATAAAATAAATTAAATTGAGCACAATAAATTATAAAAAAATAAAGTAAAAAATAATAATAAAATAAAACAATGCAAAATAAAAAATGTAGTCAATAAAATAAAATCGAAAATATAACAGAATAAAACAAACAAACAAAAATAGTGTAACGCAGTACAGTAAAACAAAAAGAAATAAAATAACCACAATATAAGAAAAAGAGAATATTAAAAAATTCAGAGAGCGTAAGAGTAAATAACAAGTACAATAAAATAACTAAAAAAAATAATAAGTTACTTGATGAAATTTGAAACCCTTTACGAAATCAAATTACATGAAAAGTAAAAACAAAAGAAAAGAATTTAAAAAAAAAAAGAAAAAATAAATCAGTAAAACGAAATTGCAAAACCATCTCAATGAGAAAAAAATGTTATAAGATGAAATTTAAAAACACCATACAAATGAAAAACCAATAAGTTTAAAAAATATAAACAAAACATATAAAATAAATAGACAAAATAAGAACTAAAAAATAAAAGACGAAAATAAAATTGTAATTAAATAATTCAATAAAATAGAATTTGATGTATTTTGGAACGAATTTCCGTCTGCTTTGTTAATTTTGGGTCAGTTTTTAGGCGTCATTTGTTGATACTCGCAGCCGGTTTATATCCACACCAAATTTGACAAGGAATGGCGGAATTTTGTTCCAAAATAGATCAACAAATCAACCAGTCGGGAAAAACGAAAAAAAAAATCGCACCACTAAAAACAATTAACGAAGGAAAGATGCAAGTACATACATACAAATATATTGCCATATAAGCATTGTATAAGGCAAGGCAAGACAAGACAAGGCAAGTCGAGTGTTGAGTATGGAGACAAAGTCATTAATCAGCAAAAGTTTTGTTACCGCCATATAAAATACTAACTGACGAAAAAACACAAAAACATACATACATACGTATGGATGTACCTATAAAATTGAGTTTGAAACATGGCTCTCAAAAAAGGTACAAGCAGTATTTAAATCTCGAATGGTAAGCGTATTTTCCTTTGGATTTATAAGGGTAGTCGTTTCGCCATCGATTGCTATCCATAGAATATTTGAAAGGTTCACACCGGCACGTCGATGCATTCATACATATCTGTACATACACGAACACACACATACTCGAAAGAGTAGATTTACAGTATTATTGAAGTTTGAGAACACGAAATATTTACATTAGGCCAAGCCAAAAGAAAAATTTTGTATTTGGTATAGTAAGTAATGATTCTCCATGAATCTCCTTTCACGACGATAGTTTTAAGAGGTCACATCGTTCGTTTATTTCTCCCATAGGAATAACACGCAAGAAAATGATTTCAGGATAATCAAAACGTCCGAAACTGTAAGAATAAATCGATTAAACGTACGGTGACGAGATTTCTAAGGACAAAAAGCGGGACATTTCTATAGCGACGAATCCGAACATACAATTTAGTATTTAGAATAAAAAGACATAACACTCCTATGTATTTAAGACACAACAAAGAGAAAAAAACTTGAAACATTATCGCAAAAATGTATACACACAATATGTAATATGTGGCGAGAATGTAAATAGGGAAAAAACATTTTAGCAAGTACTTTTCTTTGTTAAAAATTCTTATATTATTTTGTTATGAAAATATACATGTTTACTATCTAACAAACAAACAAAAAATTTACATCACAATTTCAAACTTTTAGAACATTACAAAAATGCCAAATTACCAAAAATCAACGGAAAGTCCTGGATACTTAAAACTTGCACTTCTAAAATTGAATGGGCTACAGAACTGTATACTCAGAATGTTTCTAAGAAATCTAATTTAAAAGCTAAAAAAATTTATGAAACTTTGTTGAATTTTGCTAAAGTTTGATTTAAATGGTTTTTTGTTATATAACAAGCTACACTTTCATAAAAAAAATAAACATTAAATAGGCGAAAGGGGAATAGCCAAGGAATGCTAAAATGTCTCTTCGCTAGTTATATTTTCGCTACTGTATCTAGAGTTTATATTTTTCATATCCATGAATTTTTAGAGAGAATATTATCTTTTTTAATTATATATATATATATACTATTCAAGTTAGAATCATTTCATAAAAAAAGGCTTAACAAAGAATTATAAAAACTTAAAAAAAAAAATTTTAGAAGAATGATGATGACTACAATATAGCGAGAGTTCCTTTTTGACAGATAAAACATAACCAAAGATCTTTAGAAAACAATGCAATATATATGGTTGCAATGTGTCGAAACTCTGCATATACAAATAGTTTGAATACCGCAGTATAACAGTACCCAAACACTGTATTGTTACGTTTTGGAAGTGAGCCCTTTTTCTTGGCTTGGTCTAATGCAGTGATTCCCAAAGTGGTCCGGGTGGACCCCAGTCACGGGAGTCTCGACGGGTGTCTACGTTGGGGTGAAAAAATATGGGGTTCCATTAGTTTTATGTGTGTATCTGGTTTCGATGTAAAGAACCAAAATGGTTGCTTGATAGCCTCTTTATTTAACTTTAATTTTTTCGAGTGGTACATAGTTACGGTGACCATCCGTTCCGTTTTTTGCAGGACCGTACTGTTTTTCAAAGGTCGGTCCTGCGTAGTTTTTCAAACCTGAAAAACCTGAAAATGTACTGATTTTTTCCAAGTGTCCTGCATTT